AAACATTTACTTTCACGGACGGGAGAAGAACTTCTTTTAACGCGAACATAAAGCATAATTAGTCCAAGAAACTGACAGCTCACCCCGACTTATCCCCATAATATTTACACAACACTTTCAAGTGTTTTTCCCGCAGTTCCGTTTAGAAGAGATTCCAGCAAAAGAAAGCAGGGATTTCCCTTCCCAGAAACGAAAAGCGTTTCATCTCTGCCAAAGTTCTTGGGAGTGTGAATTAAGATTTCATGTGGGGGAGGAAGTTGAATGTGTTGACATGCAGAGGGGCATGGTATTGATATATTTGCCACGACATAAGGTCATTAGGTTCGCCGCTACAAGAAACAGGTAGAAATGGAAAACCGATATGGGTAACTTCAGGGGATATCGTATATGTGTTTAGCTTATCACAGGCATCGCAAACTGATACTCTTTTCCAGACGGAGGAGTCTTGCTCAGGGAGGCCATGAAGGCATTTATCAATGAAGTTCAATGACAGTTGCCGTGGCATTCGATCAACGATCGTTTATCAGACTCGAAAATATTGACAAACAGTCTGATAAAGATACAGGTTCCTCCCAACGGAGGTTATAACATATCTCACCAGGCGGAACATGAAAATTTTTCAGTCAACCTGTTGATCAGTCGGGGATATACTCGTACATATGCCATTCGTTGACACTCCGATAATGTTGAGATGGGTAAGGTAGTGAGTTTGGTAGGTGCAGAACGATTTTTGGTATTTTAGGAAGAAAGTTCTGATAACTTAAGGTCTGATTTGTTAAATTTATAACACATGTTACCTTATTTCATTAATAGAGCTATCAAAACATAGTCTCAAGATAAATTTATTCCAAAAGATAAATAATCAAAACAACATATTCAAATTTTAAACAACATCAGTTTCCTGTTTCTTAGAAATGCAGACTCTAAGTTATGATTACTTTATTGATTTATTCACTACTTAAGAAACCATAACTTTTAGCGTTTTCATTTTAATTTAGTTACTAAACAAGCTGCAGCTGTTTTCCCCTCCCCCAAACTCCCTTTTCAGACTGACCCACATTTTAACCAGAAGAAAACAATCTGAAAACTAGAAACAATTTATTCGCTCGCCCATCTTCGTCTTCTTATCTCAAGTGTCTGCACTAACGAGCTTCGAATTTGTTATACACTCCGTGCAAGGCATAGACCCTGGGCTTCCTATACCCAATCCCAATTCCAACTCCCCTACCCATTCCCATTCCCATGACCATCCTATCTAGCATTTGCTGACCCACCAACGTGTGACTGCACATCAACAGCCGCTGACCCGTTAAATGTTCCGGTGGCCGTCATCATTCTATTCCCACTGTGGTTGTTGGTTTTATCCCGGGTTTTCCGACGACGTCGCCGACTCGCAGACGGCGTCAATGTCTTATCAAAACTTGGTCTATAACATTAATTTATGACCAATGCAAACACAGGAGAGTAGACTTCTTTTTTTTTTTTTTTTTTGGGTAGACCACTTCAAAGTCCCTCGAGCTGTGTTCTTTTTCTTGTTTTTAGGGTAATATCGAAAATCTCTGACCAACAATTAAGTTTCCGAAGAGTAATGCTCTCCACTTGTGTAAACTGGGAAACGTTTTGATTCGCTCATGTTGATATAGGAGTTCTGAGGAGAGTTTCCATAGATCATTTGTGGCGTCTGTTGGTCAGCCGAGGTTGGTGTTAAACTTCCTTTTGTTTGGTCCACAGAAATGTTTGTTTACAAACGCCGCCTCCCAGTTTTTCCTATTCCCCCGAATATGTTTACATGCGGAGTTTGTGTGTTCCGTTTTGTTGTGGTCTATAAAACTATTTTAATGGGTCTTCAACTCCAGTTTTATGCTGCTGGAGTGCTCGATTGCTTCAAAAGACTGTGGCAGAATTATTTGAAAGATATATTAAGTTTCAATATCGAATTACCCGAAGAGCAAGAACAATGCTCCACGGTCCATTGTTCGAATTTAATGAGTTCAACAATTGTTTTCCCATCGCTCTTCGTTTTGTTGTTTCTGTTAAGTTTTGACATGTGTTGATTGGAAAAGGGGAGTCTTTTTGTTGAGTGTAGGCCCACAACCAACGAAAGTTGAATTTTTTAGCTGGCCAGCTGCCCGGTGCATCCATCATTTTGTGCATTTCCGTTAAGACAGCGCAAATTATTGCCCCGGCCAGGTGTTACTCCGTCGATCTATAAAGTGCATTTAAATAAATTATCACAACAAAGGGCAGAGTGGAGAACAAAGGAAGGGGGGCTAGGAATGAATGCAGGTGAGAATGAGAGATTTATAAACGATAAACAAGTCTGAGTTACAAAGGGAAGACTTCGTAGCCAAAGAATCATGATGAAAAAAAACAGGGAATTCGGCTAAAAATTCTTTCATCAGTTCTATCATAAATTCTGGTCAAATATTTTCCATCTTAAGACATCATTTCGTTGAAATACCCTTCCCCATCATTTAAGTACATTAGTTTCATCATAAATGTATATTTTTGTTTTCCCCACAAACTCTCTTGGCCAACTCCTTTGGGCCACTTCAAGTTCAATACTTTTGCTTTTCACGCTTCGCTCGCAGGCAATAGGAAAGCCACCATAAAGCAGACAAAGTTCACTCAACTCTTACAAACTTCACATGTCAATAAAAAATTAAAAACAAATAAAACTCAATGACAACAGGCAGCAGCTCCAGCAGCAGAAGCAGCAGTTGATCGCCTAGCATTTTCCCACAAATCTAAATTTCCAGAAGCAGTCGCAGCCGAAGAGAACTGAAGTGCGCTTTTCATCTCCTAAGCATTGTGTAATGCAGTTAACAAGAAACAAACAAAAAATAAAGCAAGGCGAAACGAAACCAAATGAAATGATCTAAAGGTAAAGAAAAAGGGGAGGCAAAAATCAATGAAGAATGCATTTTCTCAAACACCTTTCGATCGACAGCGAAAAGCAAACAGCAGCTGGATATGAGTTGGCCGTGACTTATGGCTACCAGTGTAAAGAATGTATCCACAAGATACTTAATGAGCTGATAAAGTGTACGTGTTTGTCCAAGTATCTCGCTGCTTGATTGGAAAACAACCCGACAATCCCACAAACCATTCGTATCTTTTAGATCTCTGGCCGAGTATTTGTATCTGTGACCCATTTCGCCATTGGGGAAACTTTCGTTTTCTCTAATCCAAACAAGCCAATCAATCAATTAATGCCAATCGTCTCGTTCGGGCGTTATAAATACGACTTAACTGGGCTATAATTTGCCCGATCAATTCGCATTTATGTCTTCAAGGCTTTGTCGTTGAAAAGTGTTTCAATGCATCGATTTACAATCGAATGATTTAGAATTGATTTGCAATCATTATGGCATCAGGAAATCAATTAACTTGAAATGCATGTTGAAAAGTTGCCTCAAGCTGGTTGTTTTTTAATTGTTGTTTCCCAGTTGGTAAACATTTTCCTGAAGTTCCAGCTTAGAGATCAGTTTGAAAAGAGAATTTTAATTTCTTTTTGGTCTTTCTAACATTCTTTTCTCACACATAATATTAGTTCTTATCTTTCTGGGCTAATCATCAGCAATTCCATATTAACCACACTATGGCATTAAGAAGTGATTATCATAAGACAGCTTTTAAATGAAATGTATCCAAACATTTCCACACGCAACTTGGAAGCAGAACCAATTTGCCTTGGCTGTGTTGTTTTCCAAAACAAATTTTAACGACACAAAACCGTAGAAGAAGTAGACACAGTAAGCCACTTAAGTTTTATAACCATGACGTTGGCGAAGATATTTTAATAAACCCTTTTTCTATGGCCATGTGTGTGGGTTCTGGGTTCTTTCCTTGCTTCATTGGTTGGAAAACATATGTTGCTATTAGCGCGTGAGGCATTCCAGAAGGCGGTATATGCCACGCATGCCTCCATCAATTATCCTCTCCGGGGACGACCGACCTAACAATCGACCATTGTTGCTGCCGCCTAGTTACGGCATCTTGTGCACTTCACCTTCCACAGAGCCTCTCGGAATCGACCGCAATTACACACCAGAACCAGAGACCCCGGCGCTATTGTTGTCCTCAATCTGGTGTTCCCTCTCTGAGCAGTTCGGGGTCATGTGTTCCACAAACAAATGCCCAGAAGTGCCCAGGGACCCGAACACACACACGCTCCGGGGACAATCTCCAAGGGTTACATAGAACATCTAGCCATACAAAAAACATGCGCATATTGTATTTCTATTCATCTTTGTTGATCGCCTTTGTTCGCCATGTTTATCGGTTCAATTGCTTTACCAATTGTTGAACGAAGGTAGGATTGTAATTTGTTTAAAGGTTTATGTTATTATTAATTTTAATGAGAAATGTCAGGGGGCTAGGAATTATCCTTAGGATTCTGACTTCTACTTACAGATATGCCTTATTAAGCATTTTAATAATCACAAATATTCAATTTTTATACTAAGCTTAACACATTTCCAAGACAATACACACCTCTGTACACTTTTTAAGTGTTTCCCCAACTAACCAGAGTTCACAATGCCATAACCAGAGATCTATCATCTCATAGTTGGTTAGAGCCGCCGACTAGGCGATTCATATTCCTAATAGGCAAAGTTCACATAACAAAAAGCCAAGTCTCTTTTTTTTCCAGCTAACAACTAACAACAAAGGCAACACAAGGCCAGGGCAACTATGTGCCAACAGGCAAAGACCTGGGCGACAACCACTGCAACATTGCCGGACCATAACTGGACCTCTCACGTAATAACGTATAGAATTTCAAAAAAAAAGAGCAGCTCAAGAAAATTAAAGAATCTCTTCCTCCTGTCACAACTTTCACATGAAAGTTCTTTCAACTTGAGCGGCCAAATATGGCAGAAACACGATCAGCGACCAGGAAACTGAAGGCGAGCAATGCGAGCAACTTCTGGTGCTGCACAATCGATCAGGGAACCATATTTAGAAGACCCCCATCTTTAGTTATAGACATTTACCTCCTCCGCCTCCGCCTCCGCCTCCTCCTCCAGATTTCTGCAATTTTCCGTTGCGACGACGCTGTGGTGGCTTCTTCTTGGTGACGGATTCCGAGGAGGCATTAGCCAACATCGATTCCGAGTCGGCAATGTTACTTTCAATGAGCAGGCCACTTTTGGTTTTGTGCCGCCTTGATGATTGGCCCGGAGACTTCTTCTTCTTCTCTGGAGTGGCTATAATACGTGCTCCTGACCAGGACACGATGTTCTGCTGGACTTCCAAGGAGGTATCGTTGAGTTGTAGCTTATATTCCTGCAGATGCTTGGCACTGGAAAATCCTGGCAATCGTTTTCGTTGCTTTTTAGCTTGGCAATGGATGACCAACAGGATGAGGATTAGGCAAAAAGGCCACTTTATGAAATTTTCGATTTTCATGGTGAACCAACTAAATACACAGCGCGATCACTAAAGACACATTTTAATCCGTTCGACTTTGAACTTGGATATAATTTCTCTGCTCTTTTAATAAAAACCTCTTGAGATGCAGCCACTTATTTCTTGGTATTTTCATTCATAATCTTTTTATTTTCACTGCACGGATTGTTCTTTCTTTTTTTTCAAATCATTTACGATTTCCGCTCGAGTATTTTTTCTTTCACTTTTTTACGCATTTGCTCTTGCGAATCTTGCACTTTATTTTGCTTTATTTTGCATAGACTTTTTGCTACTTCAACATTTTTGCGCTATTTAATTTTATTTTTGTTTCAGACGCATTTCCCACTTTCCTGCTCAGCGACAAGCAAACATTTTTCTCGCCAGCTATTTTTGTATCCTCGTCGTCGAAGTGAAGTACAAAAAATGACAAAAAAAATTATTTAGAACCCCGAAACGTTCGATCTGGCGTTGCAGGGGGAAAACTCGGAAATGGCATACAGAAAGAAAATTCGCATTCACTTATTTATTAGCAGCGGCTTATCGCATAATTGCCGTTTAATTTTATGACACATAAATAAATCGCCCAGAGCAGCGGCCGCACTATTCGATGAGGGGCACTATCATCTAGAATTCACCCATTTCACAGCACTCGAGACCCGTCGCGTGTCTTGCTTCCTACGCAAACGACCGTCAAACATCAACTGATCGCAGAGAGTTGCACTTCAGGCCAGAGCCGTGAGTGAGTGGACTTTGTGGATCGCATTCGGCATGCTGTTCCTTCCAAGGCAGTTTCTTCAGGAAATTAAGATTAAATATCTTTTAAAATGTTACCATTAAATATTTAAATATTATTTATACAAAAATTTATTATTTTAGCTATATCTTTTGTAGACGAGCAATGCAAGGAAGTCGGAAAACAATTCCGACAACATTTTCAAAAGAGTACATAGACTAGAGGAAGTTGCACTGACCTTCTGGGAAATCTAACACCTTGGTATGTGTTATGGTTCCTAATTAGGAACTTTATTGATCTTGGCCGACCATAAACTGGGAGACCTTTTGGGCTAGCTGAGTTTTGAAACCTCTTTGCCGACTAAGGAAAGAAGGCTTCCTAAAAAGCAAGGACAGAGACGATATTTTAGGAGTCCGGATTTTAGAATTTTCGCTCATTGCAGACTTAGCAGATTTTTGTGATTATTTGATGGTCTTATTTATAAATTAATATATATATATTTTCCAGAAATAAAATCAGACTAAACTTATATTTATATTTTGCATTTTCAAAGTTCATTGCCGGCTTATCACCTGATCCGTTAAAATCTTTATCAGAGCTGGTTACGATCCACAAAAGCGAATTTCTCTTCCACTAAAATCCCGCTCTCTTTGGCCCTTTTCCGTAACCTCTCTTAAAATCTGGTTGCATTCGATTATTTACCTGTTGCTTGGGTAGATTGGTGCCAGCCAATTCGTTTAACTTTAACAGGTAAACAGGCTGCTAAGGTAGAAATCGGGGAAATTCCCGGCGTGCCAAGCAAATGTTTTTGTAGTCCTGCGACTTGCAACTTGCACTTGAACAGCCTTTGTTGCCTGTCCCTTGTTTACCTTTCCAGCCTTCGCCACATGTTTTCTACTTTTTTATGAGTTTTGACAGTTACGCGTTGAGTCCAAGGGTCCTGACCTTCCTGCCGCTACTTTGTTCTGACCCTCAATGTCCTACGGTCTTTTCTGGTTATTATCCTTGCGGTCCTTTTGTGCCCTCTACACGGCCTTTCAACAGGTGAAATGAGCCCCTGATGGAGTGCAACGAATTGCGGCACTTAACGCCAGTTCGAATGCATCTTAAAAAAAAGATACCCTCCACTATATTTCCAGCTAATACGGCCATACTCAGTGGACGTTTTACGGTGGCGCACGTTTCATGTTGCCCGCGGTTATTTGCAGCCCAATCGTGTGGCACTCACATAAATACCTCGTTCTCCCTAATAAGTTTGCGTTCCATATGCCAGCTTGCAGGGCATCGAAGAGCTGGGAAATTAATGGGTCAAGCTGTGTTCTGGTTTCTATATTCACCAATTATATTCTCTACTTTTAAAATATTTTGTTTTCAATTTTTTATGTATCTTCATAAGTTATCTCTTAATTTATACATTCGAAATATATTTCTTAAAATTCTCTTAAAATTTAAATCAAAATACAGCAAAATATTGTCTTTACAAATAAGGATCGCTTCCCTTAATTTAATTTAAATTCGAAACCCATAAATAAGTATGTGAAAGCCAGAACTGTTGGAGTCTCTGCTTTGTATCTTCTGCAATTTGTTGATGCCTCTGCTGTGGCTCGAAGAACATTTGTTGAAGCGTGAAACAGCAGTTTCACGAGCCGACTAAAAGAGCTGCAATTGTCGATCCCTTTGGCCCCTGGAAAGGATTGGGAATCGAGAATACCTCCCTACCCAACACATCCCTTTGCTACACCCGCACACTTCTGCCACTTAATCCATTGTCGATGCGCCGTTTAAATTGGTTCGTTTAACAGAATCGAAAAGCAAAACCCAAAGGCGGCATCAAAGAGAGATTGGAAGGAAATAAAAGGGTTTTCCTTCAGGTTGTGCGCATGCCCGGCCTTAAGTGCCCGACGTACTTGAGGATAACGATGTGTACGCGGAGGATAATCGTGGCAGCAACGGCGGCGGCGATGACGATGATGATGATGATGTTGTTGGTGTTGCTGCTGCCCTGATGAGGCTGCTGATTTCGGCGTGATTTATGCATCTTAATTGAAATGATGGCTTACAAATTGTTTGGCACAAGTGCACCAAAAAAGGGATAGCGATAATAAAAGAAGGAGATGGCATTTGAATTCCAAAAAAAGGGATTTCCTGGAAAGGAAAGGTTGTTTGGGTTTAGGAATGTTTTCAATACAAGGCAGGACTTCCTGTTGGCAATCACTTTGGGATTTTATTACTCAATAAGTGGTGGAATATTACAAATAAAGAGTTAAGATTTTAAAATAAAAAAATGGTCTTAATATCAAGCTATCTAATTTGAACAATTAAATCCTTTTTTAAACATCCTAATCACACCTAATCTCAAGAAATTCTTTTCCACTCACCTGGCCATCCATTCACCGAACCGACGACCTACTAAAACTGCACGATCGTTGGCAAGGTTCTGGCAATTGCTTAAGCATTTACTGGATAAAAATCATAAAGATACCTTTTTTTAACGACTTTCACACACAACCAGACTTGCAACCAATTCCACATACCTATATATTCAATTTTCTAATAGCCGCCTCCTAATCAAAACTGAGGCATCGAACTTTTATCAATAGCTTAACTCGCCCCCAAAAAAAAAAAACTTTGAGTGTGGGTTTTCTCTCTAAGCTCTAGGCGCAAAACCAATTAAGCGAAGTATCGAAAACAAACACACTCACGGTCATTGAGGTGGAAACAAATAAGGAAGTATTCAGGAGGATCGTCGACTGCGATCTGGGTTCTGTGCTCCTTGGGCGTACTGCCTTGCTCCGGTAGCCCAGCTGAGCGAAGAAACCAAATAAAATCAAATGAAATTTACCGCCAATCGTAGACCGAAGAGAGTCCAAATCCCAAGTTGGGGAAGCGCCAAAACGTTAAATACAATTCATGGCGCTCACGAACGGAATTTAAATTATGCCCAATTAGAGTTAGGTGGCTGCTCTGACTCGGACTAAACTTGAATACCGATTAGTCTCTGGTTTTAGGGGTATGCTGTTTAAATAGGAAAGAAAAATGAGTGTGGGTAAAAAATAAAATATTAAATATATATATCAACAAGAGTAAGGATAATAGTTCATTCCCAAGATACCTTTTATAAACTTTGAATCTCTAAGTTTTGGGTATCATGAAGTTGTAATAACCCTTGCCAATGTTCTTACTTGTTTTTACCCCGTTTTAGCCAGGCCTGTTCCAAGCAATTCCTGTGGGGCATTTTGTGCGACTCCGAATGGAGATAGACAGTGAGACTGTGGGACAGACGGACGGGTGGGCGTGTCGAGTGTGGGCATGTTCGTGTGGTAAACCGCCAAATTGATTTCGATCGCCCAGAGGGGGTCTCCATGCATATATACAAGTATATATAGTATAAACCCATTCCCATTCAGCAAACCCCCTAATGTTTGTTTCTAGTAGTTGCCACCACAAATCCCCGCTTGTTAACTATCTCGCAAGTCCCTCCGTTTGGTTTTTTGATGGATTATGCGTTGACAGGCTTTCGGGAGTTTTTTTTATGTGGAGCGCCACTGATTGTCTTTTTTCCGCTGGTTGTTTTCTTTCGCCTTGGGAACTGGTCTTGTTATGTAAATTGCCGACGATTTTTCTGTATTGCGGGTGAAGTGCTGCCGCAGTGCTAACGAGGCATCTCAAGTACGATGGCGGCCATAAGGTAGCCACTCTGTTGGGCTTAAAAAAACAGAAATGCCTGCCAGGATATTTGGGTTTTCCTGGAAATTAATGATGAGTTACGGTTTAGTTTACTCAATTGAGGCGTGGGAATACAACCCTAGGGGGATCTCTTAGTAATGATCAACGGACTATAAATAACTTAATAGAACGACTAGCAAAGGGGTAGGTAATAATAATAGTCACTGATCTTTGTAATCTATTGAATGAATATCAAGAAATAATATTTAAGTTTCATTCCAAATCCGGCTTCGTTTTCCCTCAAAATAGGATCAGCTAATCGAATAACCAAAACTAACGCCTCTTACAGACATTAAAAGAACCGGCATTTTGAAAATAAAAATCGTAACTACAATTATAACTTAATTTTAGTTTATTGTTCAGGAGGCGTGGACAAATTAATTTCCCATAAAGTTCTCTAATTAGTAGGTCCATTCAAAGCGCCGCTCCAGGCACAGCCAGAGGCCATAAAACCCAAAACTACATTATATTCCTTACCCAAACGAGCCCTAGTGTCAATATCAAGAAACCCTGCATGGCACTTAAAATATCGTAAATTTATATTCTTTTTCCAAGGCGTTAACATCATCCCATTGTAGAGCCAGTGAAAAATTAGTGAACACATTTCCCACTCAAGGGGTGGTCCAGGTTCTCTTTCTTTCTTGGAGTGCTTCAAGATTCGAGTGCCTACTTAAGAAGTTTATTTTCCCTTTTCTCGGATGCATCTACCCTCACTTGATTAGTAATTCGGCTTGCATAATTTGGTCGTTTCGAAGGAATTTCTGGAAAGAACTTTTTTTTTGGGGCAGGTTGTGTCTGTGCATAAGGAATGGAAGGAGTTATTTTGGTTTTTATTCGATTTCAAGATCATTAGAAATGCTTGGTATGCGTGGTCATGCAGGAAAGAGCACAAGTGTCTCAAGTTTGGTAAGAATGTTTGTCTTAGGTCACGGATTGGTTGTTATTCATTGCGATTTAGTTTTATGAGGGCTCTTAAATAATAGTAAATTAAATCAATTTGGTTGATGGTTCCTTCTCATACTAATGATTCACTTAAAAGTCATGCAAATTAAATTAATTTAAAACAAGTCTCAATATAGAATCTTATTCTTTACAGTGTTATATATTAATACTCCGATTTTGTGCTGTATTAAGCTTTATATTTGAATACAAAAAATGTTATAAAATGTATTTTATTCATAAAAAAACTTTTCTTTATACCCTTAGTAAGGGTCCCTTTCTTA